TGTGTGCATGTGTGTTTGTGTGTGTGCATGTGTATTTGTGTGTATGTGCATGTGTCTTTGTGTATGTATGCATGTGTCTTTGTGTATGTGCATGTCTTTGTATGTGTGCGTGTGTCTTTGTGTGTGTGTGTATGTGTCTTTGTGTGTGTGTGCATGTATATCTTTGTGTGTAAGTGCATGTGTCCTTGTATGTATGTGCATGTGTCTTTGTGTGCGTGTGCATGTGTCTTTGTGTGTGTGCATGTGTCTTTGTGTGTGTGTGTGCATGTGTCTTTGTGTGTAAGTGCATGTCTTTGTGTGTAAGTGCATGTCTTTGTGTGTGTGCATGTGTCTTTACCTCTGTCACTTGTGTAAGGCAGGTGCGTAAGATGGCGTAGTTGATGAAGAAGGTTGATGCCGATGGAATGGCTCGTCCGAGTAACTCTGGAATGTGTGAGATGTCCTTCTGCGCTGCGTTGAACGTTTGGATGATCGACGCTGTGCAACCAATGAGTCATCGCCATGTGAGCCAAAATCCTAAAACTTAAAACCCAAAAACCCAACGCGGAAACTCATAGACACAGCAGATGACATAGCAGACATTCAGTGGGAGCAGAAGTGAACAAAACAAAGTACTCAACAGGTCTAACGTTTATGATAACACAGTCTAAACTCTCTTCCGTTGATACGTACAAGTTATGCATCTGTTGTAACTAGATACGTAACGATATGTATGGCTTCATACATCCATGTATATTCATACTGATATGCATGGCTTTATACATCCATGTATATTCTTATTGATTTATAAGGGTTCATACATCCATGTATATATTCATACTGATATGCACGGCTTTCTACATCCATGAATATTCTTATTGATTTATATGGGTTCATACATCCACGTATATTCATACTGATATGCATGGCTTTATACATCCATGTATATTCTTATTGATTTATATGGGTTCATACATCCATGTATATTCATACTGATATGTATGACTCCATACATCCATGTATATTCTTGCTTCTGCATATTGCCCACATTTGATACTAAACAACCAGACGAAATTCACATCCGATCACTCACCAGAGACTGCTGGTGCGAGGAATACGTTAACGGCTTGAAACATAAACCATTTGCGCACCACTGACAGCTCCAGATCACCCCAACACAGATGGCCCTCAAAGTGACCCAGCGCATACAGAACGTACGGCATCACCAGATAGAACGCAATGATACTGATCTGCGGCAACACTCCTTCCAGCAGCCCCTTCAGCGATAGCACAAGACAGGCACAGATGAGTAGCATGAGATGAGCACAAATGAGTAGCACAAGACAGGCACAGATGAGCACAAATGAGTAGCACAAGACAGGCACAGATGAGTAGCATGAGACGAGCACAGGTGAGTCTATCGTGTCAGAGGATGATGACAGCAAACACACTGTTGACCCAAACCCCTATTGGTATCAGCTTTATCTTGACTGTGGGGTAGTTCTTTAGGGTTCTAGCGTTTTAGCTTTACCTTGATTGTAGGGTGGTTCTCTAGGGGTTTAGGGTCTTACCTTTACCTTGATTGTGGGGTGGTTCGTTAGGGTTTTAAAGGTTTCAGTTTACCTTGACTGTGGGGTAGTTCTTTAGGGTTCTAGCGTTTTAGCTTTACCTTGATTGTAGGGCGGTTCTCTAGGGGTTTAGGGTCTTACCTTTACCTTGATTGTGGGGTGGTTCGTTAGGGTTTTAAGGGTTTCAGCTTTACCATGATTGTGTGGTTCTTCAGGGTTTCAGGGGTTTAGCTTTACCTTGATTGTGGGGGAGTTCTTTAGGGTTTTAGCTATACCTTGACTGTGGGGTAGTTCTTCAGGGTTTTAAGGTTTTAGCTTTACCTTGATTGTGTGGTAGTTCTTTAAGGTTTTAGGGTTTTAGTTTTACCTTGATTGTGCGATAGTTCTTTAGGGTTTTAGCTATACCTTGACTGTGGGGTAGTTCTTCAGGGTTTTAGGGTTTTAGCTTTACCTTGATTGTGGGGTAGTTTTTGCAGATGTCGTTGAGGATTGGGAAGATCTTGCTGATGTTCTCGAGTGACGTGAGTGAAGCCAATGTGGCCGCAGGAATAGTAAACACAATCGTCAATGCGATAAACGCAGCCCAAATGGTTATCCTGAGTAGCGGGAAGGCGTGTGTGATGTTCAGAGTTTTGGGGTTTAGGGATTAGAATAGTAGGAAGTGGTGTGTATGGTTCTGGGGTTTAGGAATTAGGGTTTAGAGTAGCAGGTAGGCGTGTGTGATGTTCAATGGGACCATCAGAATGCTAGATGGCTCGAGTAGAGTGGCATGTAGCAGAGGTGCATGGCAGTGAAGAGCGCAGGACATGATTTGTATATTCACGAATATTGTACTGGTTGCCATGGTACGTATCAGTGCAAGTTTATACTACTTAAGGTAATCGATGATGTGAACTCGGTCGATACATGCCGATACACAACACCATACAAAAAACCCCTGCGAAAGAGTCTACAAACGAATATACACACAGTAGTAACGCATGACAATACATATGTACGGATAAACATACATATACAAATACATAAATACAAATGCAAATACATACATACATACGTAAATTCATACATGAAAACATCTATACATACACACATACATGCATATATGCACAAATTCATACAAATTTACGAACATACATACATGGAAACATATATATATATACATACATCCATACATACATCCATACATACTTACATACATATGTACATACATACATACATACATACATACCTACACACATACATAGATACACACACACATACACACATGCATACATACATACATACATACATACATACATACCAGGTACTGAAACGATAGGCGTTGTGGTGAGAGATGTTGCTCCAGATGACTGCGGAGGGGTCGGGTGCTTGTACCAGATGATAACCTGGCAGACTAGACCCAGGAACACACTGCAACAACAGAGCACACGTGACAATGTTAGAATTTAGTGTTTATAACGACAGTTTAGGGTTTAGAAGGTTTAGATTGACAGTGAGTTTAACATGCACTAAGGTCACCTACGTGTGACAACCTACCAGTTACTCGTTTTTACGTTTGCAATTACTGTTTTAGTGGCAACTAGCATAAACTACCGACAGTGTTATACTATGTCGTACTTTTAATGCGCCAGTGATGTGACATTGACTCAATCCTCAGTTGTGAGTGATTCCATCGTATGTCTGCAGATTGGAACATGTAGTGTTGACCGAATGAGTAGACAAAGTGGTCTCAGCTGAGCTTAAATTGAAGTCCAATTATATCACATGTCACATGCTCAAAATGTACACAACACGTGCCATACTGATAAGCACGTAAATAGTCAACCAATCATGCAAGTACTGATAAGTGGGTAAGTAGTGTCTCCAATCAGGTTGCTGCGGCTGATGTGATTGGTCTGTCACGTGTCTTAACTACACTGTCATATAACCTGTCACCTGTCTCGTGCACCACCTTAAAAACCTGTCTCTCGCCTTTCATATTCATAAACCTTAAATCCTAAAACCCAAATACCCTACACGGCCCATCTTCTGTCTATCCCCTTCCGTCGTATGGCCTTACCTGCACAGCCATGGTGGCTGCACGGTGGCTTTTGAACATCACAAATCCCGAGTCACCTCCAAAACTAGTGCCTGTGGCCGACGAGTATGTGTGTACTGGCTCTGTGTGCGACTGTTCTCGCAACAGCTGCAGTCGCTGTGTGGGGGTGAGCCGTGGCGTGTCTTCTTTGGTCAGATATCTGCGTTGCAGCAACTGCGCTGCTTTGGAAGGCTGTTGTTGGGTTTTAGGGTTTTAGGGTTTTAAGGTTTGAGTGTGGGACAAAGAGTGTGGCACGCGGTGGCAGTGCAGTAATTAATGGACAAAGGGTTTAAGGTTTAAACCGATGATGCAAACCCTGAACTCTCAGATGACGACCATGTGTGTTGCAATGGATGACTTTATTCGATGGGCACACTCTTTTACCCTTTGCTCCTTTCGGCTGTTTCCTTGGAGCGTGCTCATCGGTGATTGTACGTAATGAGCAACCAACGGAACGGTCGCAGAGCATCAAACCACGTGCAACGCAGCGAACAAATGACTCACGATATGACGGAAAACCCTAAATCCCCAAAACCCTAAATGTTATGAAGGTCTACAACTCAGTGTGTGTGTAATATTTTACAACGCACTCGAGTATGCTCTGCATTACAGCCTCATTGGCTATGACTCTCTTCGACACTGGAATGACGATTCCATGCGCATATGCCCTAAACCCTAAAACCCAACAATCTCAAACCCAATACCCTAAAACCTTAGAACTCATAACCTATTACCCTAAAACCCATTACCCTAAAACCTTAGAACTCATAACCTATTACCCTAAAACCCAATACCCTAATACCCAATACCCTCAAACCCTTGAACACATAACCCCCAGTAGTCCACACCTTCCTTTGCAGTCGATTAGTGCCCTTTGTAGATGAGCTGCTGCGTCGGCGTGTCATAGTCAGAGGGTTGGCCATGGCTGCGGAAGTGACTTCGATGTCGTAGCCGTAGAGTGTGTACTTGTTCTTGATTTCCATTTGCCTTGCGGAGATCTGCTGATTGAGTTTCTTCACCTCCTCCGCGTAGTACTGAATGGAATCCACTTGTCTAACAGTAACAGTCACACGACACAGTTAACAACCGAGATAACAACTACACCACACAGTTGACAACTGAGATAACAATCAATCCCATCACACAGTTGCCAATTGACATGACAATCAATCCCATCACACAGATAGTAATTGAGCTAGCAATCACACACCAATTAAGTTAATATAACTATGAACGTACTACCATTGACGTAGATGGAGGTTGTTAGCCACAGCCGTTTAGAGTCATCATGTGTGTTGTGCAAAGTGGTTGCGGAGTGGAGCAATGTCTTTGACAGTTTTAGGGTTTTAGGGTCTTATAATGTCTGGCAGTTTTAG